AACCCCATTCTTTGTGAGCAGCAGATTCCCTGATGAGTTTTCATTTTGTTTTTCCTTCTTTGGGCACTATATAGCCTTTAGTTAAGTTTTTCTCCCTTTCCTCAATGTATTTCTCTGAAGTTAAAAGGAAGTGTAAAAGTTGCAAACCCTTACAGTCAAAGCTTTTAATTATACCTTAAAATCTGCAATCATTCCCACTTTTATTATATAGCTGGAGATTAAATGGACCACAGAAATACATGTTAGATAATAGAGAACAGGAAGGCCACAGGCAATGAACCTGTGGAGGAAGGGGTTACTGCTGTAGTGCTTTCTAGGCGAGGCTTACGTTTTATGACCACTTTCAATACCTGTGATACACAAAATCCCTGTTGCCTTCCTCTTTGGCCCCCACAGGAACCCTATACACTTCTCTGTAGCATGGATTTGTATAAATAAATTCAATCAGTTAACATGAGACAGTCAGACATATGGATATTACTAGCTTGTTAATAATGGATGTTATAGGCTGTAGCTTTATCCCCATCGATTAACATGGATGACATAGGCAAGATCTGCACTATCCATGCAACAGCTGGAATCGGCAGTGGAAAGCTTCCGGCTGATACTCCTTTTTACCATTACTTCATCTGTTTCTGATGAAACCCAAAGAAACCTAGGAAGCTGCATTCTCTCACTGTGTCTCACATAGCTGTATGTCTTTATAGCACAGTTGATTCCTTCAATCTAATTTTGTGCCCCAGTCAAGGTGACCTCCTGCCTTTGTTGGGAGTTATAAAAATAAAAATATTAGCTAACATTTATATAGAGTCTTTTATAGTTTATGTCTGCAAAAGTTACAGAACACCTAGGCTTTCAGAATCAGAGCACATGGCCTTTCATTTACACTGTGCAGTTTTACCAGTCATTTTCCTAACCTGAGACTATGCCTTGAATTAGTTTATATGGTTTCATTATTTACTTGGTCTTTCTTCTTGGTGATACACAAAACCTACTAAAATTACTAGTCTATTTTGCTTTGAGTTACCTTGTTTTTGTTGAGAAAAATTTTACATCATCACTTCAGGTAATTTAAACACATTTAATAATTGAAAATCGCAAATCCCTTTTAGGCAGGAGGGGTTCATGTAGTGATTCCTTATGTCCATTGCATCTCCCTGTTGAAAATGTCCCATCAGAGATAATAAATTGTCATATTAGCTTATTGTCAACTAAGTATTTTTCCTTCCCACTTTATTTCCTCCAAATTCTGTGTCCTTCAACTACATTCTTTTTCTTTTCCCAGATTGCATTGAGCATATTAGGTCATTTGCATTTATACATAATTCTTGAATCTGCTTGTTACTTTTTGTTCACACACACACACACACACACACACACACACACACACAAATCTAGCTGTGAATGACATTATGCTGAATCTGTAATTTTCCTCCAGATTTTACTATTGTTATCCAAGAAGCCTGAGGAATTCCTGAAGGAAGAAAGTGCAAGGCAGAGCTTCCAGGGGTTGGCATAGAGACTCACTGGTTCTCTTGTAACTGATGCAATCAGATATGACTGTAGAAGCTCATGTCAGGTTTAAGCTTAGCACTGGGCCACTATTAGCCTACAAGTGTAGCTAAGGTGAACCATCATCTCTGCTCCTTATGAAGTAAGTTGTTCACCACTGAGAACAGATAGCAGGTGATGCCACCGGGTGAGAGGTTCCAACTTTAATGCAGTGAAACTGCATCTAAAGATGGTTCTCTTCCTAGTCCTCTTCACTTACCAAGTAGGATCACTGCCTCTAGAATGAGTAGTAAGTTCATGGTTCATATGAGAAAGATTTAGCTTTATATCAATATTTAATGCAGTCATTCATTATACTTCTACACATGTTAATTTGAGTAAGACCTTAAGTCTGCTGGGAATAAGCCTACCACCATTTCCCACTGTATTATATGTTTGTAGTTAAAAACCCATGAGACATGAAAGTACACGTGAACAAACAGACATGTAGAAAATTAAATACTTATGACATTTTTATGAGCCTGTCTGTGCATTTGTGCTGTAAGAGCAATTATTTCTTCATGAAGCCCCAGGGACTTAGGCTTTTCTGGGGAGAGGATTTTTACCTAGTTCTTGTAATTTTACAAAGAAAGCTTTCATTATTACAGGCATGCTTTAAGGCATGTTGTTTGAGGACTTGAGAAAAATTCCAACAACTGGTCCATTTTATGTAGTAACCAGATAATCTATGGAAAATATAGAGAAGTATGAAGGAGCAAATAAATAAAATCCCACTAGAGGAGAATAAAGATTCATGAGCATTTTTAAAAATTTTCCACAAAGTATATTCATGTGTGCATGCATGTGTGTACATATATGAAAACTGAAAGCACATAAGTTATACATTCTGCATTATCAGTTATGCTCCAAAACCAAGTTGCTAATCCAGCCCTGTGTGTGTATATTGGAGAAGTTAAATCAGTTCTTATGGAAAGAGCCTGAGAAGGTCTCTGGAACAGAAGAGTTAATCAATGGAAGTTACAAAAAGACAGAAAAAGGAAATGTAACTTCTATCAACAACTACTTGGATTCCTTTTGACTTTCTTGCCAATTCACTTTATTTTTCCTGTGATTTCTTCTCACATTCATTCTCCTGGTTGATGGTTCCAAGCACTCATGTTAATAGTGAGCACTGCCTTAGACTTTCTGTCACTGAGATCTTAGAAAAGTCACCTGCCTGTGCCTCAGTTACATCATGTTTTCAAAATAACAGCTATCTCCCAACATTACTGGAAGAATTCAACTAACTCAAATATGGATATGTTTTGAAAATTCTGGGTATACTATTTCCTAGGAACTCATTATGGCTTTGTGGAATTCCCATAACCTTTTCTTCACATTCCCATATTTCCTTTGAAGGTGAATTCCAGTCTTAATAAAATATGCACAAAATACTAATAGCATAGTAAAATACAGTAACTAATTCTGTGAGTTTGATAGAGAAGTGCAAGATATACAAAAATGTTCTACTGAGATGAAGCCCTGATTGGCCCTAGTACATGTCATTCAAGGACCACTGTGTGTGACCACACAGGTTGTGAATGTGGTCTCCTAGAGTTAGTTATAATCCTTTCAACCTTAAGTTGCTCTCATGGGACCAGTTTGGGAGTTAGATAACTTTGTAGATTGTGGCTACATAGTTATATCTAAGTCATTCTCTTTCTTTAAAAGATTAGCTATGTTTAAAGAGTCTGCATGGGAAATGAAGTAGAAAACTGAGCAATTATTTTAGCATGTGTAATATACTATAACCAAGCTGTTAAAGTAAGGGTTTCTACTTCAAGCATAGTATATTTAAATCACTACAGGCTTCTTTTTTTTTTTTTTATTAAAATGCTTACCCACCAACTATACCTTAAGGCACAGAAAAATTTCCCAACCAATCTAGCATTCACTGGAGAATGAAAGGAAGAAAGTGTCCTTTTGTTAGTTATGTGGAAAACAAGATGGTTTAGTACATTCTACAAGTACGAGAACCTTGGGAACTTTTGGGAGGGGTCTTGATCCTCTGTCCAAGTCATGAACAACTGTATCCTTAGTTTCTTACTTAATCTAAGCCCTCATCTCTAATCCCCAGACTGTGCTGATAAGCCCCTCCAGCCCTTCTCTACTTAGAGCCACACAGAATAAGCCCACACAGAATAAGCCCTAGTCTTATTCTCTGAAATGAACCATGCTCCTGGCATGGCTCATTTCAGGGACAGGGCAAAGTGATCCCAGGTCACCTTTAAAGAGCCATTGTGAAGGTGCTCTTATTAGCACAATCTGGACTTGAGCACCAAAATAATAAAGTACTGTAGAAATTATGTACAACTGAAGAGAGAGTTAATTAGTTCTTTCTGAGAATGTATGAATGGATGATTATATGAATGTTCAGTGAAGGATGCAGGGAGATATGGGAGACATCTATGTACTAAATGCCAAGTGCTAACTACTAAATGTGGAAAGAGTGCTAGAACAGGACAATCAGCAACACCATCACGGTAAAGAATAAATGTGACTCATCAATGGATGCTAAATCTAAAGAAATATATTGAAGAACAGGATATTTGCATGGTAATAAAGTATCCCACAGATTGCTGTGCAAGAGAAAAATAGTAAGTGGGGAGATTGGACCATACTTCCATCAGGATCAAAATTAACATCAAAAGGATGCAAACATCAAGTGTCTCCAGATAACATATCCTGAGAAAGACACATTACCTATATGGGATTCTGGCCAAGGCTGTGTAGTTGGAGCATAATCGTGGGGAAACATGTCACAAATGCTCAATTGAAAAGCAGAAGCAGAAATTGTATCTTTCCAAATTTACTACCATTGGAAAAATGAGGACTGTGAAAGTGATCCAAGGTAAAGGAGCCTAAAGAGATGTGGCAACTAAATGCAATACTAGTACAGGACTATATCCTGTACATGGGAGTTTGAGGGCAAGGGAAAGAAATACCACAAAGTTCATTTATTGGATCAACTGACCAAATTAAATACAGGTGTCATATTAAAGTATCATATCAGGGTTCAATCTCCTGAAGTTGATATGTATACTAGAGTTAAGAGAACATCCATGTTCTTAGAGCAGAAACACTGAAGTCTTTAGTGATAAATGCCATAGGTAATGTACATACGTATAGGTCAAGAGAAGTACACTCACACACACAGACACAAACAGCATTTACTAAAGAATATGCAAGCAATAAAGCAAATAGTAAGATGTTAATAACATCAGTAACAATAGATGAATCTGGTCAAAGGATCAATGGCATGTGATTGTTGTTTATGTACTATTTGTGTTCTTGCAACTTCCTTGAAGTTTGAAATTATAATCCTAAATTTAACATTTAAAAAAATCTTGGCTAAATGGATTATTGTTTTCTAAGTAAATAGTACTTTCATTTTATGGTTTTTTTCTTTCTTCTCTCTTCTTTGTCTTTCCGTTTTCTCTATGTTTTAGAAGTCCAAGGCTTGCGAGAAGGCCATCTCCGTGGGTCAGACCGTCATCACAAAGCATCGGAATACTCGGTACTACAGTTGCAGGGTGATGGCTGTGACATCACAAACCTTCTATGAGGTCATGTTTGATGATGGCTCCTTCAGCAGAGACACATTTCCTGAAGATATTGTGGTAAGTACGTTCCCTTGGGTGTTTGCTGCCCAGTATACTGGTGAGTCCAAACAGCTGACTCTTTGGAAATGTTTCCTTGACTTTTTGAGTAGCTTGTATCCCTGGATAGTCATGGTTTTCATCACCCTAAATAGTATCCTGATAAACTTAGATGATTTTCCCAAATTATTTTAATTGAGAAATGGTATTTGGCCAGGAAATGTAAACTGTTGTCTTAGTCTGTTTGTGCTACAGACCAAATGCTGGAACCTTGATCTTGGACTGCCCCACCTCCACTGTGAGAAATTTGGTCTGGTGAGGGCCTTCTTGCTGAATCTTTACATGGCAGATGGCTGAAGAGCAAGCTATGCTGTGTGAATCATTGCAGTGCACACCATAGGCTCATTCAGAGGAACTAGTGAATGTATCAGGACTAATAGTTAACTTTGTTTTAGTCTTGCTTTTTAGCACTTTCTACAGAGGGCTTTTTGACACAGAAATTAGTACCCATAACAGAGAGTAGGAGACAACCAGTCTGGCTCTAATCCTTGTATCTATTCTCCTTTTAGAGAAATGTCAGTTTGGGGAAACAAGCTGTAATAATGGTTTTGTCATTTCTGTCTTGTCCTTGGTCTCTGTGGATCTTTGCTTTTGTTCGTACTTGAACGACATTTCTTAATAACTTTTTAATAATTATGCAGTATGTACAATTGTAAATTAAATATAACTTTATGAGACTGCTTATAAATATTTCTAGGATTTTGGTTACCTGGGATTGAAGATAAATTAACTCAGTCAGTTTTGTTATTACCTGTCTGTGTTGTTAAAAATGACAACTGTAGAAACAAAAGTGACTGTATTTGGAAGATTTTTGAAGCAACTGAATTTTAGCCAACTTAAAATCCCAGTACATGTTTATATACACAGAATGGAGAATTGCATTTCTTACGTGTTTAGCCACAGCGTCACTTCATTGCATTGCCATTGCCATTCATCAGTGAGAACCCTTAGGTGACATGCTTCTCTTTTTTAGATTAGTCATCCCTTTAATATTGAGTCTGCGTGCACTGAGTACAACATTAGGTGTTAAGAAAGAGATGAGAAAGAAGACATCATCCCTGCTTGCTCAGTCTAAGGAGGAGCAGGCTGGCAAGTGGGTCCTTTCCATGCAGTGAATATAAATATATAAATGAAGAAGTATTATATGGAATTGGGTCTGTGCTTATGGAAACTTAGAAGTCCCTAGACTAGAAGTTTCTGCAGTCAGCAAGCTGAAGACCCAGGAAGATAATGAGTTGGGAGTCTGAAGGCAGAAGAAAGCCCATGTCAGAGCTTTCAGTCAGGGAGGAAGATTGTCTCTTACTCGGGGTGGGGTGGGGTGGGGGAGCCTGCTTGTTCTAGGTAGAGTAAATCATCTTACTTCCATTTTTATATTTATATTAGAACTATCTTTTTGGAGATGGGGACCTTCTCTTTGCTCTAATAGGGAGCTTATTCAGGATATAAGAAAAATTTTAATAAAGTATGTTTTTGTCTCAGTTACTTGCATATCATTGCAGAATAATTATTTTATGAGAATACTATATACATTTCACGGTTCTCAGAGAAACCTTTTTTTTTTTCATTTTCCATTAGTTGTATATCTGTGGCATCAAAAACTAGTGAGACAAATGAATTTTTTTCTTCTGTTTGTCTGAAAACTCCAGTACATATCAGATAGAATGTCACTGGGATGCACCGTTTGTCATCACAGTGTGACACCAGTTACTTACTGGTTATTGAAGAACTAGTTCTCTAAGCCCCATGTACTTGTTAAGTAGAACTAAAATTTCAGCTTTTTAATTATGAAAATCAAATTTTGGATATCAGGTTCAGTCATCCCAGGATATTTATACATACTAAAAATATATACCCTTATGAAGCCTAAGGCCTCAGTAAAGACATTTGTATTTCCTTATTTATAGGGTTGATGATTACAAGTCATTTCATAACTCCAACAGGCAAGGAGCCCTCCACCCCATCCCGCACACCCTTTTTTGGGAGCACAGTACTGCAGTCTGAACTCAGGGCTTTGTGCTTGGTAGACAGCCATGCTACAGCTTGAGCCACTCTTCCAGTGTTGAGAAGCCTTTAATGCAGGCTGGCCTATTCCATATTTGAGAATAAATTTGGCATCCTTAAAATATTTATGTTAGAATTATGAGACTGGAGAGAGTACTTGGAGCAATAGAGAGAAACATTATTTGGGCTATCAAGAAATTTTTTTCTCTACCTAGGTACTTCATTTCTGTGATAGCTAGAAAAATGTCTAAAAAATTCTCAATGCACCTGTGGAATGTGTGTATCAGCCCAGCCAAACTCAGCATGCAATCTGTAGCTGTCAAAGGAGATAATAAAAGATGTATTGCTACATGCCTCCATCTGTCAGTCTATGAAACTGCGACACACTCCTGATGAATTTTTTTGTCTTTCTCTATGTTGATGGGAATGAAAGTTGCCCACCTGAAAGAGCTCATCTATCACAGAGATTCCAGTATCCCCTCTTAGCCTCTGCTAGAAGCTACGCTCCTTGAGCACAGCCATGTTGCCTCTGGAGTGATTGCTTCCTTCCCTCTGAAATTGGGACTTATTTTAGGATGGAAGGTACAGCAACTGGTAGATACTTCTAGAGCAGGCACTTAACATTCACCACTGTGCATTAGAGGAGAAACAGAACCATTTAGAAACTCAACAGCAAGCGTCCATCACTGAGATTCCCATGAGCACTACTGGTTATAGTCTTAGCCTCTGTTGAAATGTGAAATAAACACAACAGCAGTACCCATCAAGAACCTGTGGGTGTGCAGTTATGGACTTTAGTTAATAGTCTTGGTTTTCTTAGTCAGAAAGGACAAATTGAGGTTCCTAGGGCTTTTTTCCCCCCTCAGGTGTAAGTAATTTGCTTAAACTTTTCTGTTTCAGTCATGTTCCCTACTAAAAATACAATAATAAAGTATACCTTAGAGATTACCCAAAGGACTAAATGAACTAAATGCCTGGCACATAATAGGCACAAGATCAGATTTTTTAGGATGTTAATTCAGTCTGTAATTCCTCCCCATCGAGGTCATGCTGCCCTTTTCTAATTTTGCTAATACCTGGAGTTAGAAGACGTGCCTTACTTGTTGCTACTTGTTTGGTTAAACTGGGGCCTGTACTATATCACCTGTATGAAGTAGACCTAGCAGCTTTTAGACTTCATAGTAGTCTACTTCCCTACATTCATCCTGGTATTTTTTGAGAGTCTTATTTCAATGGCTTTTCATAACAAACTTATTTTGAAGTAAGTTCATGCCCATTTTACAGATGTAGTACTTACCAAGTCACAAAAAAGCTTTGTTCAAGCTTCTTGGAGTAGATAGCACACAGCTAGGTCTGGATTGCAGGGCGACCCCACTGTGTTCTGTCACCTGTTGCCTCCCTATTTTTTGGCATCTTCCAGAAAGTCTGCTCTTTGTAGCTTTGTACAGCTATGGATGAAGACCTTACATCTCCCTTGAGGGTAAAAAACAGCATCCAGTTGGTGCATCGTGGGAGCCTCCTGAGTGTTCAGCACTCTTCAAGCCCCTCTTAACAACCAGAGGAATAAGGGTGATCTGGTAGCTTTCACTCTGCTAGAGTGCTTTAGGGGTGATCTGGGTATTCTAGAGACCAAAGAAAATAGCTGTATGGGTTTGAATAACTTAAAAGTTGTTCCCAGAAATGTTACATGCTATGCAATCTAGGAAAGCAGTTTGGATTCCTGTTGGCTTCTAAGTTTTGTGATACTTAGAGTGTTTCAGGTCAACTAGACATCCAGACATGACAGTGGCAGACAGTAGGTTGACCAAGAGACACCTGTTATCAGAGGCTACCTCAGCTTTGGAAAGTCATGCCCCATATAGATCTTTTTTGTTTGTTTACTTGAGACTGATCCTCTTTACCTCCATTCTTGACCTGTACTCCCTGTCCCAACTCCACCCCTGGCAATTCTGAGTTTTCTAGAATTAATGGACTTTTGTCAGAGGGGGCTGTATTATTCAGCTTTCCATCACTATAATAAAACCCTTGACACAGGTGACTTATGATGTATGACAGGTTTACTTACCTGGTCGTTTGGAGTTGCAAAGTTCAAGATTGGGAAACTCCATTGGTTTGACTTCTACTGAGGGTGGAATTATGGCAGGAGCATGAGTAGGAACAAATGGTTATAGCTTGAACAAGAACAGAGCAAAAGAGACTTCAAGAACATGCCACAATGACTTAAGACATCCCACCAGGTCCAACCTCTTAAAGTTCCCCAGTGTGGAGAGCAGATTGTGAGAAGCCTATGTGAACTGGACATAAGCAAGGCGAGATGCAGGTCAACTGTTTTTCCTAAAATCTGTAAGCTGAGATTGGCACCGTCCTGGCCACAGAAGAGGGAAATGCAGAACAGCTGCTTCTAAATTGTTTACATTTAGAGAAGCAGGAACACAGGTTTCACCTGTTACAATGTCAAGCCCCTGCCAGAGAACCGCTGCTCCACCCTGTTTACCACCCTGTATAAAAGACTCACTGAAGGAGGACACCAGCATTTTTCCTTTGCTTTAGGCTTTTGCTCTGGGCTTTTGTTTTGAGGCTTTTTGCTTTGGGCTTTTGGCTTTTTAGTGTAGGAGGCTTTTGGAAGGGCAAAGAATTACTGAAGGGAAATTGCTAAAGGGGAATTGCTAAAGAGGGGTTGATAGAAAGTCTGCACCAAGAACTTTATACATAGGCTTTAGAAAAGCTAAGCTAAAGAAAACATGCATATGCAGTTTTTAGGCACATCTGTTGTGTGCGAGTCTCGGGGCAAAGACTTTGAGAGATTATGCTAAAGAAAAGCTAAGAGAAAACATGGACAGAGTAAGTCTAAGGAAAGAGGTTTTAAGCAATATTTTAAAGAAGACTTTAGAAGCAAGGTTTTAAAGAACTGTAAAGGAGTAAGGCTTTAAAGAATAAAGATAGATAAAAGAAGCAATGAA